AAGAGTGTGCAGAGGCAATTTGCTTGCCACTCTCCATAGTGTATAGTAGGTCACTGGAGACGGGAGACCTACCAGAAATATGGAAGACGACGAATGTGGTCCCAATATACAAAAAGGGCGACAGGCAAGAGGCACTGAACTACCGGCCAGTATCCTTGACTGATATACCATGCAAGGTGAAGGAAAAGATCGTGAGAAAAAACCTGGTAGAACATCTGGAGAGAAGGGACTTCGGGACAAATCGCCAACATGGGTTCAGGGAGGGTAAATTTTGCCTTACTGGCTTAATAGAATTCTACGACCAGGTGACACAGATTAAGCAAGAAAGAGATGGATGGGCGGACTGCATTTTCTTGGATTGTCGGAAAACCTTTGACACAGTACCGCATAAGAGGCTGGTACATAAGCTGGAGAGACAGGCAGGTGTAGCTGGTAAGGTGCTCCAGTGGATAAGGGAGTACCTAAGCAATAGGAAGTAGAGAATTACAGTGAGGGGTGAGACCTCCGATTGGCGTGAAGTCACCAGTGGGGTCCCACAGGGCTCTGTACTCGGTCCTATCTTGTTTCTGATATATGTAAATGATCTCCCGGAGGGTATAGATTCATTTCTCTCAATGTTTGCGGACGATGCCAAAATTATGAGAAGGATTAAGACAGAAGAGGACTGTTTGAGGCTTCAAGAAGACCTAGACAAACTGAAGGAATGGTCGAGCAAATGGTTGTTAGAGGTTAACCCAACCAAATGTAATGTAATGAAGATAGGTGTAGGGAGCTGGAGGCCGGATACAAGGTATCATCTGAGAGAGGAAATTCTTCAGGAGTCAGAGAAAGAAAAAGAATTGGGGGTTGATATCACGCCAGACCTGTCTCGTGCAGCCAATATCAAGAGGATAACATCAGCGGCATATGCCAGGCTGGCCAACATACGAACGACATTCAGAAACTTGTGTAAAGAATCATTCAGAACTTTGTATACCACATATGTCAGGCCAATCCTGGAGTATGCAGCCCCAGCATGGAGTCCATATCTAGTCAAGGATAAGACTAAACTGGAAAAGGTTAAAAGGTTTGCCACCAGACTAGTACTCGAGCTAAGAGGTATGAGCTACGAGGAGAGACAACGGGAATTAAACCTCACTTCGCTGGAAGACAAAAGAGTTAGGGGGGACATGATCACCACATTCAAGATTTTGAAGGGAATTGATAGGGTAGATAAAGAAGGCTATTTAACACAAGGGGCACACGCACAAGGGGACAGAGGTTGAAACTGAGTGCCCAAATGAGCCACAGAGATATTAAAAAGATCTTTTTTATTGTCAGAGTGGTTGACAAATGGAATGCATTAGGAAGTGATGTGGTGGAGGCTGACTCCATACACAGTTTCAAGTGTAGATATGATAGAGTTCAATAGGCTCAGGAATCTGTACACCTGTTGACAGACGGTTGAGAGGCGGGACCAAAGAGCCAGAGCTCAACCCCCGCAAACACAACTAGGTGAGTACACACACAATGGGGCCTGGTAGCCTGGTGGATAGCGCGCAGGATTCTTAATTCTGTGGCGCGGGATCGATTCCCACACCCGGCAGAAACAAATCGGCAAAGTTTCTTTCACCCTATGCACCTGTTACCTAGCAGTAAATAGGTACCTGGAAGTTAGTCAGCTGTCACGGGCTGCTTCCTGGGGTGTGTGTGTGTGTGTTATGTGGGAAAAAAAGTAGTTAGTAAACAGTTGAGAGACGGGCCGAAAGAGTAAAGCTCAACCCCGCGCAAACACAACTAAGTGAATACACATGATGGGCTAATAATACCCCGACAGACTACCCCGATACCCAATCCCACACACGCGACGTATTAATAATGTCCATACACACACACACGCGATGGACTAATAAGAAATTTAAATGCTGCTAATCACTTGAAGAAGAGACATATGAGGGAAGTGACACATGACCACTACTCCCCTAAAAATGTGTTTATTGACCAACGACGTTTCACTCGGGAGCGTTAAAGGAAAATAATACGTCTTCCTCCATCATATACCAATGATTTTTGCCCAATTAGGAAGGAAATGATAGCTTAGGTTGTGATAGGGTGAGTCAGTTGACTTTTTACTGAGTATAACTAAAGAGAGAATTGATATAATGAAGCTCAAGGAGAGCACCCAACAATCTGCACCCTACAATCAAAGGTTTGGGTGCAGAAATATAGATTATACAAGTAGAATATACATGAGGCTAAATGATATATAGATGAGTAAATGTTGTATTTACCACACGCTAACCCTAATCTGTTATAACATCATCACTTTCTATGGCGTGAGGTGAGGTGATATCGACGCCATCTATGGACCTGCACTCCAACTCCAAGGCATTAAGTGAGACGAAGACAGTGCTATCCGTTGGCGGAGGTGTGGCTCCTGTTTCATATCCAAGTTAGGAGGTGAGGTCGATGAGGATGACCTCTGGTGAAGGAAAGCGATTCATCAATTTGAAAGCGCCAAGTCATAATGACTATATAGCACTTGGAAGGGGTCAGGAAAAAAATTTGGGATGGGACGGGGGAGGGGAAGGAATGGTGCCCAACTTCTGGGACTGTCGGAGATTGAACGCCGACCTCTGTGAAGGGAGACCGTCACTTTACCTTACAGCCTAGGTGGTTGGGAGTGAAGTAACGATATAAACGCCATCTAGATTGTGCATCCGATTACATTTCACAGTTCCCGGTGAGGGATTGGCATCCTATGTTCTCCGTGCTTACTTCCTGTTCCGCTAATGACTATTATGTCTACAGAGGTGACGTGGAGAGTCTATTGCACTGTGTAAATCAGTTCATCTTGGGCAATCCCAAACTACTGCCTTGTTCCTGTGAGAGGACACGTGGCCGCCGTCGGTAGTAGACAGTGTTTTAGTTGTTGTACCTGTGCAGTGATTGTGTGGACCCAAGTACCTGGGATTGTGCCAAGGGCAGTTACAAGACGACAGTAATGGCTGTCTGTTGATAAGTGCTGCCAGCACGTAGGCTTCTGCCAAGGAGTTAGTAGTGACTCCAGGACGTATTATTTATGACCCCTGTCCGCGTGTTGCTGAAGTCCTCTGCCAGTGTTTCTGGAGAGCCGATGTAGGGTATTTGGACATCGTGACGATACGGTGTGTAGACTGGCTCATGTTGAGGTAGGTGAACTCGCCGGTGATTACCAATGAGCGTCGACGATGTATACTTGAAGAAAGTGGACTCACTGGGTTTTGAAGAACACTTCAGATATATTGAGTGTCCTGGGTGAAAGCGACACTGTGTTCATAAGTGTAGTTATTCTTCGATAGATAATATATTTGTGAAGGTGTAACTGCATCTTGTTTAAACTTTTCTGTGCACTCTTAACTTGCTGCCGCCAGTTCTTGAATTTATCGTTAACTTGGGGGGGGGGGAAGGATCATAGAAGAAGAGGCTCCAAGGCCCCATAAGTAGCAGGAACCCGGTTACTGGCTGAAGCAGGTTAGGTTATCTTGAGGTTATCTTGAGATGATTTCGGGGCTTTTTAGTGTCCCCGCGGCCCGGTCCTCGACCAGGCCTCCACCCCCAGGAAGCAGCCCGTGACAGCTGACTAACTCCCAGGTACCTATTTACTGCTAGGTAACAGGGGCATTCAGGGTGAAAGAAACTTTGCCCATTTGTTTCTGCCTCGTGCGGGAATCGAACCCGCGCCACAGAATTACGAGTCCTGCGCGCTATCCACCAGGGTACGAGGCCCAGAGGGAGGTTGTAACAATACCCTTCCTGCCTCCTCTCTGGCTCCACTCGAATACCCATCCTAACCCCACTTCATTACCTTCCCTGGCCCCTACCGGAACCTTCTCCAATATTCTCCCGGAACCTTCTTCAATATTCACCTGGAACCTTCTCCAATATTCTCCCGGAACCTTCTTCAATATTCTCCTGGAACCTTCTCCAATATTCTCCCGGAACCTTCTTCAATATTCTCCTGGAACCTTCTCCAATATTCTCCCGGAACCTTCTCCAATATTCTCCCGGAACCTTCTCCAATATTCTCCCGGAACCTTCTTCAATATTCTCCTGGAACCTTCTCCAATATTCTCCCGGAACCTTCTTCAATATTCTCCCGGAACCTTCTCCAATATTCTCCCGGAACCTTCTCCAATATTCTCCCGGAACCTTCTCCAATATTCTCCCGGAACCTTCTCCAATATTCTCCCGGAACCTTCTCCAATATTCTCCTGGAACCTTCTCCAATATTCTCCCGGAACCTTCTCCAATATTCTCCCGGAACCTTCTCCAATATTCTCCTGGAACCTTCTCCAATATTCTCTCGGAACCTTCTCCAATATTCTCCCGGAACCTTCTCCAATATTCTCCCGGAACCTTCTCCAATATTCTCCTGGAACCTTCTCCAATATTCTCCCGGAACCTTCTCCAATAGCTTCACTGACTCCTCTCTGATACTGTCCCTAGTCCCGCTACAATACCCTCCCTGACCCCTCTCTAATACCCTACCTGACCTTTCTCCATTACCCTACCTGATACTTCCCCAATATCCTTTGTAACCCCTCTCCAATATCCCTTGAAATCCTTCTCCATTACCTTCCCTGACCCCTCTCTAATACCCTTTGTAACCCTTCTTCAATACCCTACCTGACCCTTCTTCAATACCCTACCTGACCCTTCTTCAATACCCTACCTGACCCTTCTCCATTACCCTACCTGACCCTTCTCCATTACCCTACCTGACCCTTCTCCAATACCTTACCTGACCTGACCCTTCTCCAATAACCCTCTCTGCAATATCCTCTATGTCCAAAGTCAACTCACATGAGGTGAGGGCGCCTGACTGGCAGGGATGATGTTACAGACAGACAGACCAGTCATCTCACATGTGGTGTGGGCGCCTTACTGGCAGGGATGACAGAGAGACAGACCAGTCAACTCACATGAGGTGAGGGCGCCTGACTGGCAGGGATGACAGACAGACAGACCAGTCAACTCACATGAGGTGAGGGCGCCTGACTGGCAGGGATGAGGGTTGCCTGGTGTTTGGTCATCATCAAGCCACAGCAACACGGACCGTCCTTCTCCACGTTGTTGGTCCCCATGAACCTGTCAACACACCTGAGGGTCACCTTCACGAGAGTATAGCGGCAGGTTGCTGGGATATGCCAGGATTATGCTGGGATAAGAAATTATGTTGGACTATGGCAGGATTCCTTATGGGTAATGCAGGATGGTTTAGAGATGGCATGATTTTTCTTGGATAGAAGGCGTATGATATGATAAGGCAGGATGTTGGAATATGCAAGGATCCATCTCTGCTATAACAAGATGATTATATGTCATAATCACTTTAACATTGATATGTTAACTCTAGGATAGGAAAGGGTTACTCTCGGGCATCGTTTATTAGGAAGGATATTATAGTGTCTATCTTCGGGACTGTAGGAAGGCCAGGATATGTCAGGATCAATTTCGGGATCTGAAGGATGGCCAGGAAATGGTAGAAACAATGTCGGATATTTTAGGATAGCCAGGAAAGGCAGGGTTGGTCTCTGATATTATAGGATAACTAGGATGGGGCAGCATACGCCAGGAAAAATGTAGGATGGCCAGGATATTACAGGATCTATCTAGGGAATTGTGGCACAATATTTTGTGATTTATTTGTATTTTTTACATTTTGTACGAAGATGAGGGAACGTCTCTCACTTTGTACGGAGATGAGGGAACGTCTCTCACTTTGTACGAAGATGAGGGAACGTCTCTCACTTTGTACGGAGATGAGGGAACGTCTCTCACTTTGTACGAAGATGAGGGAACGTCTCTCACTTTGTACGGAGATGAGGGAACGTCTCTCACTTTGTACGGAGATGAGGGAACGTCTCTCACTTTGTACGGAGATGAGGGAACGTCTCTCACTTTGTACGGAGATGAGGGAACGTCTCTCACTTTGTACGGAGATGAGGGAACGTCTCTCACTTTGTACGGAGATGAGGGAACGTCTCTCACTTTGTACGAAGATGAGGGAACGTCTCTTACTTTGTACGAAGATGAGGGAACGTCTCTCACTGTGTACGAAGATGAGGGAACGTCTCTCACTGTGTACGAAGATGAGGGAGGGAACCCTTGACAAAAAGAAAGTGAGGGGAGGGAACACCTTGACAAAAAGAAAGTGAGGGAGGGAACACCTTGACAACAAGAAAGTGAGGGGAGGGAACACCTTGACAACAAGAAAGTGAGGGGAGGGAACACCTTGACACAAGAAAGTGAGGGGAGGGAACACCTTGACAAAAAGAAAGTGAGGGAGGGAACACCTTGACAACAAGAAAGTGAGGGAGGGAACACCTTGACAACAAGAAAGTGAGGGGAGGGAACACCTTGACAACAAGAAAGTGAGGGGAGGGAACACCTTGACACAAGAAGGTGAGGGGAGGGAACACCTTGACACAAGAAGGTGAGGGGAGGAAACACCTTGACAACAAGAAAGTGAGGGGAGGGAACACCTTGACAACAAGAAAGTGAGGGGAGGGAACACCTTGACAACAAGAAAGTGAGGGGAGGAAACACCTTGACAACAAGAAAGTGAGGGGAGGAAACACCTTGACAACAAGAAAGTGAGGGGAGGGAACACCTTGACAACAAGAAAGTGAGGGGAGGGAACACCTTGACAACAAGAAAGTGAGGGGAGGGAACACCTTGACAACAAGAAAGTGAGGGGAGGGAACACCTTGACAACAAGAAAGTGAGGGGAGGGAACACCTTGACAACAAGAAAGTGAGGGGAGGGAACACCTTGACAACAAGAAAGTGAGGGGAGGGAACACCTTGACACAAGAAGGTGAGGGGAGGGAACACCTTGACAACAAGAAAGTGAGGGGAGGGAAAACATCTACTGACATCTTCTGAGCAAGGAGGAGAGACCACCTTGAGAACTACTGAACGAGGAGAATGAGCACACTGACAACAATTGAGCGAGAGGAAGGATCAGCTTTACAACTGATGAACGAGGAGATGGAACAGCTTGACAATTGTGAATGACGGGAGAGACAACCTTGACAACTGCATAGCAATGAAAGGAATCACCTTGACAAATAGTGAGTGAGGATATAGAACACCTTGAAACTAGTAAGCAGACAGAAAACTTTGACAAAGTGAAAGTAAGTGAAAGGAAGCAACACCTTGACAACTAGTAGGAAATTTAAGTAATCAACATGAAAGCTAGTGAGTGATGGGAGGAAATACCATAACAATAAGCGAACCCCACGGTCCCAGTCTTCTCATGTCTGCCCCCCACCATAGTGAGGTCCAGTCTTCTCATGTCTGCCCACACCATAGTGAGGCCCAGTCTTCTCATGTCTGCCCCCCACCATAGTGAGGCCCAGTCTTCTCATGTCTGCCCACACCATAGTGAGGCCCAGTCTTCTCATGTCTGCCCCCCACCATAGTGAGGTCCAGTCTTCTCATGTCTGCCCCACCATAGTGAGGTCCAGTCTTCTCATGTCTGCCCCACCATAGTGAGGTCCAGTCTTCTCATGTCTGCCCCCCACCATAGTGAGGCCCAGTCTTCTCATGTCTGCCCCCCACCATAGTGAGGCCCAGTCTTCTCATGTCTGCGCCACCATAGTGAGGCCCAGTCTTCTCATGTCTGCCCCCCACCATAGTGAGGCCCAGTCTTCTCATGTCTGCCCCACCATAGTGAGGTCCAGTCTTCTCATGTCTGCCCCCCACCATAGTGAGGCCCAGTCTTCTCATGTCTGCCCCCCACCATAGTGAGGCCCAGTCTTCTCATGTCTGCGCCACCATAGTGAGGCCCAGTCTTCTCATGTCTGCCCCCCACCATAGTGAGGCCCAGTCTTCTCATGTCTGCCCCCACCACAGTGAGGTCCAGTCTTCTCATGTCTGCCCCCCACCATAGTGAGGCCCAGTCTTCTCATGTCTACCCCACCATAGTGAGGCCCAGTCTTCTCATGTCTGCCCCACCATAGTGAGGCCCAGTCTTCTCATGTCTGCCTCCCACCACAGTGAGGTCCAGTCTTCTCATGTCTGCCCCCCACCATAGTGAGGCCCAGTCTTCTCATGTCTGCCCCCACCACAGTGAGGTCCAGTCTTCTCATGTCTGCCCCCCACCATAGTGAGGCCCAGTCTTCTCATGTCTGTCCCACCACAGTGAGGCCCAGTCTTCTCATGTCTGCCTCCCACCATAGTGAGGCCCAGTCTTTTCATGTCTGCCCACACCATAGTGAGGCCCAGTCTTCTCATGTCTGTCCCACCATAGTGAGGTCCAGTCTTCTCATGTCTGTCCCACCACATGAGAAGGCCCAGTCTTCTCATGTCTGTCCCACCACAGTGAGGCCCAGTCTTCTCATGTCTGTTCCACCACAGTGAGGCCCAGTCTTCTCATGTCTGCCCCCACCACAGTGAGGTCCAGTCTTCTCATGTCTGCCCCCCACCATAGTGAGGCCCAGTCTTCTCATGTCTGTCCCACCACAGTGAGGCCCAGTCTTCTCATGTCTGCCTCCCACCATAGTGAGGCCCAGTCTTTTCATGTCTGCCCACACCATAGTGAGGCCCAGTCTTCTCATGTCTGTCCCACCATAGTGAGGACCAGTCTTCTCATGTCTGTCCCACCATAGTGAGGCCCAGTCTTCTCATGTCTGTCCCACCATAGTGAGGCCCAGTCTTCTCATGTCAGTCCCACCATAGTGAGGCCCAGTCTTCTCATGTCTGCCCACACCATAGTGAGGCCCAGTCTTCTCATGTCTGCCCCCCACCATAGTGAGGCCCAGTCTTCTCATGTCTGTCCCACCATAGTGAGTCCCAGTCTTCTCATGTCTATCCCACCATAGTGAGGCCCAGTCTTCTCATGTCTGCTCACACCATAGTGAGGCCCAGTCTTCTCATGTCTGCCCCCCACCATAGTGAGGCCCAGTCTTCTCATGTCTGCCCCACACCATAGTGAGGCCCAGTCTTCTCATGTCTGTCCCACCACAGTGAGGCCCAGTCTTCTCATGTCTGCCTCCCACCACAGTGAGGCCCAGTCTTCTCATGTCTTCCCACACCATAGTGAGGCCCAGTCTTCTCATGTCTGCCCCCCACCACAGTGAGGCCCAGTCTTCTCATGTCTGTCCCACCACAGTGAGGCCCAGTCTTCTCATGTCTGCCTCCCACCATAGTGAGGCCCAGTCTTCTCATGTCTGTCCCACCACATTGAGGCCCAGTCTTCTTATGTCTGCCCACACCATAGTGAGGCCCAGTCTTCTCATGTCTGCTCACACCATAGTGAGGCCCAGTCTTCTCATGTCTGTCCCACCATAGTGAGGCCCAGTCTTCTCATGTCTGTCCCACCATAGTGAGGCCCAGTCTTCTCATGTCTGTCCCACCATAGTGAGGGCCAGTCTTCTCATGTCTGCTCACACCATAGTGAGGCCCAGTCTTCTCATGTCTGTCCCACCACAGTGAGGCCCAGTCTTCTCATGTCTGCCTCCCACCATAGTGAGGCCCAGTCTTCTCATGTCTGTCCCACCACAGTGAGGCCCAGTCTTCTCATGTCTGCCCCCCCCACCACAGTGAGGCCCAGTCTTCTCATGTCTGTCCCACCACAGTGAGGCCCAGTCTTCTCATGTCTGTCCCACCACAGTGAGGCCCAGTCTTCTCTTGTCTGCCCCCCACCACAGTGAGGCCCAGTCTTCTCATGTCTGCCCCCCACCATAGTGAGGCCCAGTCTTCTCATGTCTGCCCCCACCATAGTGAGGCCCAGTCTTCTCATGTCTGTCCCACCACAGTGAGGCCCAGTCTTTTCATGTCTGTCCCACCACAGTGAGGCCCAGTCTTCTCATGTCTGTCCCGCCATAGTGAGGCCCAGTCTTTTCATGTCTGTCCCACCACAGTGAGGCCCAGTCTTCTCATGTCTGTCCCACCATAGTGAGGCCCAGTCTTTTCATGTCTGTCCCACCACAGTGAGGCCCAGTCTTCTCATGTCTGTCCCACCATAGTGAGGCCCAGTCTTTTCATGTCTGTCCCACCACAGTGAGGCCCAGTCTTCTCACGTCTGCCTCCCACCACAGTGAGGCCCAGTCTTCTCATGTCTGTCCCACCATAGTGAGGCCCAGTCTTTTCATGTCTGTCCCACCACAGTGAGGCCCAGTCTTCTCACGTCTGCCTCCCACCATAGTGAGGCCCAGTCTTCTCATGTCTGCCTCCCACCACAGTGAGGCCCAGTCTTCTCACGTCTGCCTCCCACCACAGTGAGGCCCAGTCTTCTCATGTCTGCCTCCCACCACAGTGAGGCCCAGTCTTCTCTTGTCTGTCCCACCACAGTGAGGCCCAGTCTTCTCTTGTCTGTCCCACCACAGTGAGGCCCAGTCTTCTCTTGTCTGTCCCACCACAGTGAGGCCCAGTCTTCTCTTGTCTGTCCCACCATAGTGAGGCCCAGTCTTTTCATGTCTGTCCCACCACAGTGAGGCCCAGTCTTCTCATGTCTGTCCCACCACAGTGAGGCCCAGTCTTCTCTTGTCTGTCCCACCATAGTGAGGCCCAGTCTTTTCATGTCTGTCCCACCACAGTGAGGCCCAATCTTCTCATGTCTGCCTCCCACCATAGAGAGGCCCCGTCTTCTCTTGTCTGTCCCACCATAGTGAGGCCCAGTCTTTTCATGTCTTCCCCCCACCATAGTGAGGCCCAGTCTTTTCATGTCTTCCCCCCACCATAGTGAGGCCCAGTCTTTTCATGTCTGTCCCACCATAGTGAGGCCCAGTCTTTTCATGTCTGTCCCACCACATGAGAAGGCCCAGTCTTCTCATGTCTGTCCCACCACAGTGAGGCCCAGTCTTCTCATGTCTGTCCCACCATAGTGAGGCCCAGTCTTTTCATGTCTGTCCCACCACAGTGAGGCCCAGTCTTCTCACGTCTGCCTCCCACCATAGTGAGGCCCAGTCTTCTCATGTCTGCCTCCCACCACAGTGAGGCCCAGTCTTCTCATGTCTGTCCCACCACAGTGAGGCCCAGTCTTCTCACGTCTGCCTCCCACCACAGTGAGGCCCAGTCTTCTCATGTCTGCCTCCCACCACAGTGAGGCCCAGTCTTCTCTTGTCTGTCCCACCACAGTGAGGCCCAGTCTTCTCTTGTCTGTCCCACCACAGTGAGGCCCAGTCTTCTCTTGTCTGTCCCACCACAGTGAGGCCCAGTCTTCTCTTGTCTGTCCCACCATAGTGAGGCCCAGTCTTTTCATGTCTGTCCCACCACAGTGAGGCCCAGTCTTCTCATGTCTGTCCCACCACAGTGAGGCCCAGTCTTCTCTTGTCTGTCCCACCATAGTGAGGCCCAGTCTTTTCATGTCTGTCCCACCACAGTGAGGCCCAATCTTCTCATGTCTGCCTCCCACCATAGAGAGGCCCCGTCTTCTCTTGTCTGTCCCACCATAGTGAGGCCCAGTCTTTTCATGTCTTCCCCCCACCATAGTGAGGCCCAGTCTTTTCATGTCTTCCCCCCACCATAGTGAGGCCCAGTCTTTTCATGTCTGTCCCACCACAGTGAGGCCCAGTCTTCTCATGTCTGTCCCACCATAGTGAGGCCCAGTCTTTTCATGTCTGTCCCACCACATGAGAAGGCCCAGTCTTCTCATGTCTGTCCCACCACAGTGAGGCCCAGTCTTCTCATGTCTGTTCCACCACAGTGAGGCCCAGTCTTCTCACGTCTGCCTCCCACCATAGTGAGGATAAATACCTTGGGTGTTAATACTTATGATGAGTGTATCATCATAAGTATTATTATTGGGGAGCCGGTCGGCCGAGCGGACAGCACGCTGGACTTGTGATCCTGTGGTCCTGGGTTCGATCCCAGGCGCCGGCGAGAAACACTGGGTAGAGTTTCTTTCACCCTATGCCCCTGTTACCTAGCAGTAAAATAGGTACCTGGGTGTTAGTCAGCTGTCACGGGCTGCTTCCTGGGGGTGGAGGCCTGGTCGAGGACCGGACCGCGGGGACACTAAAAAGCCCCGAAATCATCTCAAGATAACCTAAAGATAAGAATCATAGTGATTGATCTCGGTGGATTAGTTAGAGTATGAAGACAGTTAACCCCATTGCGTATTATAAAGGTAGTGGAAGCCATAGTGGATTAGTGAGCTGCTGAAGGCCATAGTGGATTAGTAAGCCGGTGAAGGCCACGGTGGATTAGTAAGCCGGTGAAGGCCACGTTGGATTAGTAAGCCGGTGAAGGCCACGGTGGATTAGTAAGCCGGTGAAGGCCACAGTGGATTAGTAAGCCGGAGAAGGCCACAGTGGATTAGTAAGCTGGTGAAGGCCATGGTGGATTAGTAAGCTCATGAAGGCCACAGTGGATTAGTAAGCTGATGAAGGCCACAGTGGATTAGTAAGCCGGTGAAGGCCACAGTGGATTAGTAAGCTGATGAAGGCCACAGTGGATTAGTAAGCCGGTGAAGGCCACGGTGGATTAGTAAGCCGGTGAAGGCCACAGTGGATTAGTAAGCCGGTGAAGGCCACGGTGGATTAGTAAGCCGGTGAAGGCCACAGTGGATTAGTAAGCCGGTGAAGGCCACAGTGGATTAGTAAGCTGGTGAAGGCCATGGTGGATTAGTAAGCTCATGAAGGCCACAGTGGATTAGTAAGCTGACGAAGGCCACAGTGGATTAGTAAGCCGGTGAAGGCCACGGTGGATTAGTAAGCCGGTGAAGGCCACAGTGGATTAGTAAGCCGGTGAAGGCCACAGTGGATTAGTAAGCTGGTGAAGGCCATGGTGGATTAGTAAGCTCATGAAGGCCACAGTGGATTAGTAAGCTGATGAAGGCCACAGTGGATTAGTAAGCCGGTGAAGGCCACAGTGGATTAGTAAGCCGGTGAAGGCCACAGTGGATTAGTAAGCCGGTGAAGGCCACAGAGGATTAGTAAGCTGGTGAAGGCCACAGTGGATTAGTAAGCTGATGAAGGCCACAGTGGATTAGTAAGCTGGTGAAGGCCACAGTGGATTAGTAAGCTGATGAAGGCCACAGTGGATTAGTAAGCTGATGAAGGCCACAGTGGATTAGTAAGCCGGTGAAGGCCATGGTGGAATATAAGATCGTGAAAGACATTGTGGGTTAGGTTTGCTGGTGAAGAGTGTGGTAAGACGACCAGAATATGGCAGAATCATTTTGAGAAACTTGAGAATTATCTGAGAATCGTCAGACTCACCTGGGAGAAATAAGAATCACTTGGGAGGAATAAAAGTCGCCTTGAAGGATAAAGACTCATCTTGAAAGCTTATACTTACTAGGGTGAACTGGCTCATCGTAAATGCATGAAACTCTTGGAAGTCTTAAGACTTACCTGACAGGTTTGAAATTCAAGTGGAAGGCTTGGACCTCAGCTGAGAGGCTTGAGACTCACCTAGTCGTCTTGAGACTTACGAGGATACTCAAGACTCACCTGGGATGCTTGAAACACACCTGAGATGCTTCAGACTCACCAGAGATGCACAAGAATCATTTGGGAATTTTGAGAATAACACAGAACATTTGAGACTAAGCTGCCAGGTTAGACTCAAGTTTACACTTGAGTCACACATGAGACTCAAGGCTTACCTGAGGTGCTTAAGTCTCAAATGACATGCTTAAGACTCATCAAGGATTATGACTCGTCTAAGATGTTCCTGACTAATCAAGGATGATTAAGACTCATCTGGGAGGCCAGACACTCATCCGAGACACTTGAGACACCTGGGATAATTAAGACTCATCTGAGACACTTAAGACTCACCTGAGACACTTGAGAGACACCTGGGATAAGTATGACTCACCTGGAATACTTGAGAGACACCTGGGATAAGTAAGACACACCTGGGACACTTGAGATTCACCTAGAACACTTGAGTCACCTGGGACACTTGAGATACACCTGGGACAAGTAAGACTCACCTGGGACACTAGAGAGACACCTGGGATAAGTAAGACCCACTTGGGACACTTGAAAGACACCTGGGATAAGTAAGACTCACCTGGGACACTTGAGAGACACCTGTGGTAAGTAAGACTCACCTGGGACACTTGAGATACACCTGGGATAAGTAAGACTCACCTGGGACACTTGAGATACACCTGGGATAAGTAAGACTCACCTGGGACACTTAAGACTTACCTGGGACACTTGAGACTCACCTGGGACACTTGAGAGACACCTGGGATAAGTAAGACTCACCTGGGACACTTGAGACACCTGGGATAAGTAAGACTCACCTGGGACACTTGAGAGACACCTGTGGTAAGTAAGACTCACCTGGGACACTTGAGACACCTGGGATAAGTAAGACTCACCTGGGACACTTGACAGACACCTGGGATAAGTAAGACTCACCTGGGACACTTAAGACTCACCTGGGACACTTGAGACTCACCTGGGACACTTAAGACTCACCTGGGACACTTGAGACTCACCTGGGACACTTAAGACTCACCTGGGACACTTGAGACTCACCTGGGACACTTGAGAGACACCTGGGATAATTAAGACTCACCTAATACACTCCTTGCGGCAGAAATGCTTCAGGACGAAGGCGGGATAGTCATCAGTTTGTTCGTCTTTGGAGGGTCGTTCCTGCTCCGGGCTAATCTTCCTGTCCAGGGGGAGTATGGTAGGTCTTATCATCACCTCTTAAGGAGAGCTCTTAAGATGAGATCGTAAGATATAACATGATCTTTTAAGATCATCTTTTAACATCAGATATTAAGATATATTCTTAATATAGCACTTAAGATGAATTACTAAAATTAACTCCTAAGATGACCAATTAAGGCATATGTTAAGAGCACTTATGATGAGTTCTTAAGATAAACTCTTATGGTGAGCTCTTGAGATTAGCTCTTAAGAAGGGATCTGAAGATAGGATCTTAAGATTAGCGTTTAAGATTTTTATATTTTTATTTATTTATATATATACAAGAGTTGTTACATACTTGTACAGCCACTAATACGCGTAGCGTTACTTAATCCTATGTTCCCTGGAATACGACCCCCACGAAGAATAGTTTAACAACCATGTACCCATTTTACTGTTGGGTTAAATAGAGGTTACAGTTAAGGATTTGCACCCAGTAAATCCTCCCCGACCAGGATACGAACCCTGGACGAAGAACTCACGGCACGCCAGGCGAGCGTCTTACCACTACGCCACGGAGACTGTTAAAGGCACTTAACAGGCACTTAAGATGAACTATTAAGTTGAACACTTAAGACCAACTCTTAAGATCAGCTCTTAATTTCAGCTTTTAAAGTATGCTCTTAAGATCAGCTTTTAATATGAGCTCTCAAGATCAGCGCTTAAAATGAGATATTAGGAGCTGCAGAAAAATAGAGCTCTTACCCTGCTAAGATAAGATAGGTGTTCTGTTAACAGAAGGCTGGTGTCGTTTTAACAGGAGTCAAGTGTCCCGTTAACAGGAGTCAGGTGTCCTGTAAACAGGAGCCAGGTGTCCATTTAACAGGACAGGTGTCCTGTTAATAGGAGTCAGGTGTACTTTTTAACATCCCAGGAATAACAGCGGAGTTGCAACAACGTCCTAACAGACGTTTGAGGCGACTGACGGAGCATGGGGGATCACGAGCCATCAGGTACAAGACAGATAACCTTAATTTTTTTTAAAATATATGGTTAATAGGCAAGATCTCTAGCTCTTAACATGACTAAGTTGTGATTCAAACCGATCAAGAGTACGTTTAAGTTTATATTTTATTGATTGTTAGAAATGTCATAATCGCAAATATGTGCTTCTAAGAACCTAGATACATGTGTTTGTTTCCAGGTGGGTGCGGTTACGTCATGGAGCCTGTGGTAACCTCAGCCACTCTTGATAACTAAACGCTGAGTTTCCTGAGTCAGGACAAACAAATGCAAGATGATAAGAAGTGAAGTGGTATAAGCAGATTTCATATACATAGTTTTATGTAGATATGATAGTACAATATTTTTACTTATTTATATATGCAAGAGTTCTTACGTTCTTGTGAAGCCACTTGCACGCGTAGCGTTTCGGGTAGATCCTTAATACTAATTTTTCCTGGAATACGACCCGCCAAATCGTTTAACAACCAGTTACCTATTCACTTCTGGGTGAACCAAGGCTACAATTAAGGACTTCCAGTCAATCCTCCTCGGCCAGGATACGAACCCAGGAAAAAGCGCCAGACGAGTGCTTTACCACTGCGCCATGGGGACTGCCGTTCCTGGAACCTATATCCTAGTCGATTAAGAGTTGAGAGGCGGGACCCAACACCTAGGTCATTCTCTGCAAAAACAGCTTGCTAGACGGTTACAATAAGATGAGTACACAACACTACATAGAGATCACACAGTCATTATCACTGTTGTGTTTAATAACTGCACTGATTAATCTCAGTGGAAATCTTATTTGGTTTTTAGCTCTTTGCTGTGTTAGATAATGTTCCAGCGGTGTCTGGCAGTTCTTCATAATGCTGACTTTTCTCTTTTTCTGGAACATTTAAGTCCATTTCCCTTGCACATGGGTATTTAAGTTTGATGCAATGTAGGTGCAATTCTGTTCTTTAGTTCATTTCCAGCAAAATAAGTTGTTCGTATTTGGTTGAATACTTCAACTGCTGTGTTGAGGACACTGTACATCTGCATTGCTTTGTGTCTTATTTTTTCTTAATCTATGCGAGACTGTGTGGTACGTAAATGTCTACATACCTCTTCTTGGTTGCAGGTATTGCAGCTTTGCAAATTGGTATTGCAGCAGGTATAGGAATGATATCTGAGATATCATTCCTATTATTCCTACACGACTTTACACCCAGCTGGTATGTATTTGGCGACTTTGACGTTTGAGTGTCTACATTATTGCTATAACATTTAAGGTCAGATGGATGTAGCCACGTAACTGTTCTTGTTGCAATTTTACAATGGCAATTCTAGAAATGGTTGTCTTTGCTGGTTTTGTAATCACCAGTAAAGCATTTGAAGCTGTCAGATGCCAAGTTTGCTACTGTGCAATGTTACATATCAGATAAGGATTAGTCTGATACTTTTTTCCCTCGAGATCACAATCATAAATTCTGCTGACAGGGATTCCCAAGGGGCTTGCATAACAAAGTCTGCAGGAATATCATTAACACCCCCTCTCAGTGACTGTATTTGTGATCTCGATTGTATTGACAGTGATTATTACACAATGGGTCCACTTGTTGCTATTAAAAGCTCTTCTGTCGTTAGTGTTCCATTGATTTTATCTTTAAGTGAACTTATTCTTGATATATTCAATATCTTGGTCGGCATGCAGGAAGCAATCCCTTTTACCCTTATTTAAACCGATGTTAGTTTCATCTCAAGTCTCCGTTTAGTATTTTAGTCCATTTTGGAGTCCCGTCATAAATCGCACTGCATCGTTCTGAATAACCTCAACCTTTGCCCACTGACCAGGAAAAAGAGTGGGTAAGGCAGGCGCTGCATAATCAACCAAGCAATGAACGGCGTGTAAGTGAATCATTCTTAACTATCTGTGTTTACAGAAAGTTAAGAATGAGTTTACAGAATCTGTGTTTACAAATTCTTATCAGGGGGTCCTAGATGGGGCAATGTGATTGCTCTCATTATATTCAGTCGTGATTTTGGTTTCTCTTTCAAATATTAAATTTGTTTATTGTATGTCATGTTAGAATCTATCCACACTCCAAGGTATTGGTTTTGTGTACGTGCTTGCCAGGAGTGTTGTGTACGTGCTTGCCCGGAGTGTTGTGTACGTGCTTGCCCGGAGTGTTGTGTACGTGCTTGCCCGGAGTGTTGTGTACGTGCTTGCCCGGAGTGTTGTGTACGTGCTTGCCCGGAGTGTTGTGTACGTGCTTGCCCGGAGTGTTGTGTACGTGCTTGCCCGGAGTGTTGTGTACGTGCTTGCCCGGAGTGTTGTGTACGTGCTTGCCCGGAGTGTTGTGTACGTGCTTGCCAGGAGTGTTGCTGTGGGAAATTTACCAGTGAGATTTTATTTTAATTGTTTATTGATTTATTGGTTAAGTTAATTATGATGGATTTTAGTATTAATTTATTTAATTAGTAAGGGAACTATATAAGATAATTTTCTCCAACTAATAAACTTATCATAAGCTTGAGGGGTTATATGTTTAAATTTAACTAGTCAAGAATTAACTTGTTAGTTGATATTATATTTTTTAACGGTTAACTAAAATTAAATGTATATTCCGTGGAGTAAATAAATAAATTGAAAATTTATAACAAGAGGAATGTCAGCTTAGCTGAACATGAAGCGTAGATAATCCGGGACGCGTATCATTCACGTGAGCCAAACACAGAGGGCGACATATTGCATCTCACCAGTGGTGAACTACTTGTTGTATATTGTTACATCGAGACTTTTCTACCTATCAACACACAACATTGTGTAAATTCAGCTGCAATTCAGTAAATCCCTTGCTCAATTCAGCCATCTTGATGGTCTTCTTCGGGCAGGAAAATTGTCCCCAAATTCGTTTTTACTGATTCCCGGAAGGAGAGTTTTTATTTAGTTTATTTATATACTCATAATTTTATTTTATTTAGAGAATCATTTTCTAATATACTTACTCTTGAGACTGATGTTGTTACAGTTATCTTCTTCATAGGATATCTTCATGGCCTTCCAGTTAACCATCCCACATCTATATCGCCTGCCAAAGATACACAGAGCCAAAAAACAAATCCACAAGGGCCGTGACGAGGATTCGAACCTACGTCCGAGATGATTCCAGACGCTGCCTTAATGCCCCTGTGGATTTGTACATTGATGCATCACGCTATTGTGATTTGTGTGTAATACACAGAGCCATTAACACGGAGACACTAACATGGCAATGGAGACCGGTTCTCAGTGGATGCAAGGCACCGACGGCACCAGTAGACTGGATCTGCACGGCCCTTCTCAGTCCCCTTCTACAGTTGCTACCAGAAACACTTAAGATACAACGGATTTCGTAAATAAAATAGCAACCATAAGATGACCAGCACCAAGAGGATCCATTCTCTTCTCAATGGATGTAGTCTCTCTTTATCCGAGCATACCCCAGAGGGGAAGCAGCCACACAAGTCGCGAAATGTTTCGACACAAACAAGCACAGAGTGAGGACGGAACTGTAGGAAGCAGGAGTATGGAGGATGCCTCCGAGACACCTGCTCGAGGAAGCAATCCTGCACGTAATGAGGGATACTATTCTAGAGTTTAACGGCGAAACACACAGACGTAAGGAACATCAATTGGGGCATCGAGTAGCATAGCGATAGCCGAGATCTTTGTACACGTAGCCTTCGAACGGAGAAGGATCTACAGGGAAGACACACCGACGATTTACTTTAAATATATTGATGATATCTTCGGTATTATTGCGGAGGACGAAGGTCTTCGAGTCTTCGTCCCAGGCTTGGCATGGGGGGGGGGGCCACCCATGATAGCCTGGAAGAAGGGGAAAAATCTCAAGGGCCACCTCGTGAGATATGATTTAAGAAAAGAAAATGACTAGAACTGAAAACTTATCCAAACCTAACTTAATGATATCGGACATATCTCATCCTAAAGTTTTAGATATAGCTAACCTTACCTAAAATTGTACGTTCAG